TCCTAACGCGCGGTGCGTATATTTACGCGCAAATCCTAATGCGCGGTGCGTATATTTACGTGCAAATCCTAACGCACGGTGCGTATATTTACGTGCAAATCCTAACGCACGGTGCGTAAATTTACGTGGAAATCCTAACGCGCGGTGCGTATATTTACGTGCAAATCCTAACGCGCGGTGCGTATATTTACGTGCAAATCCTAACGCGCGGTGACGTAAATAACGTGCGAACGCGCGGTGGTGCCACGCGCGGTGCCGTACATAACGTGCGAACGCTCGGTGGCGTTACGCGCGAACGCACGGTGGGTTAGGGTTAGGGTACAAAAACGCCACCACGCGTGGCGCCACCGTGCGTTCGCACGTTATTTACGGCACCGCGCGTTAGGCCTTGCACGTAAATATACGCCCGATTTATGGCCCCAATGGCTTGCCATAGAGTAGCTACACATTTCCCTCCTCCGCCTTTCATTCACTACCACCTTTTTAAAAAAGACACTTTTTTGTCAGCAGGTTGCACAGTTGTGGCTAAATTAATTTTACAATCCAAGTTTAAAACAGTTTGGATTTATTCTTCCTACCGCTGATCCTTTCACTGATCCTTGTCAAGAACCTGGTGGCCCCCTCCACTACCCCCACCCCTCCCCACAGCTGTGAGCAATCCCACCCCCCAGCTCCCCCCCAGCGTGCAGCCTCGTGCGTAAAAGAGAAAAAGAGGCGAGTTTAGTGAAACCGGTCGGCGGGGCGGCACTGGAGGATGAACTTCAGCTTGATAACGGATTAACGCAGGAAAAACAAATAAACCGAATCATGTCAGGATGTCGGAACATGCCCACCCGCGGCGAGTGAGTCACACTTTAAAGTAGTGGAAGAAGCACGCGCTGGTGCGGACGGAGAGATTCTACGCGGGGGTAGCTGTTTAACTTTCTGGTACTTATAGGGTCTCTTCCAGCTGTGTGGGGGGTTTTATGGGGAGGATTGAGCTCGTGCCGTCAAACGGATAGACAGATGCAGCGCGAGCCTCCTGTGCCAGATATGGATGGCGCGCGGGATAGCTCCGGACTCTGGTGCGCATCTTCTTCATAAAGTGACCGACAGAGCTGAAAACAACTGCTTTTTGACCAGAGCTTAAAGTTCAAACTGAACACAGGAGGAGGACACGAGCTTCTGAACCAGCAAACTGACCTAAAAACAGTCAGAGAAAAGGAGCTGCCTTTTTTATTTTCTTTTTTTTTTTAAAGGTAAAGATCAAAGCGGAGAAGATGCGTTCAGAGGCGGTCAGGAGATTTCAAACGCTTCTCGTGCTTTGGTCCGTCCTCATCAGTCTGGGAGCCGGGTTTCCAACAAAAAGCAGGAACTTTGCTCACAAAGTAAGCTCTCTTTTTAAGACATTTTCCACTAAGTGATAGCTTATRTGTTTTCAAGATTGTTGAACTGCGAAATAAGTTAAAAGTGATCTTTATTATTATTTTGACTTCTGTTTTTTAGCTTGCAGCTAATTATCCACATTGTCTTAACTTTTTGTCCCTTTTTTCCCCCAACAACAATAACATTTTAAATGCACGGATTTAAAACACCATGGGCAAATTTTCTGACAATAAGTATATTCAACAGGACAGGGGCAGGATATTTTAATAAGCTTCTTCTTTTTTTTCTTTTTTTTAAGACAGGACTGAATTAAAGGGAGGTTTCAGACATTTAAGTGTGGATCTGTGAAAAGTGTTGCTTCCTAACTTGTTGATCGCTTTTTGAACAACCTCAGATTTAATCCTGCTAAAAGTTTGTAGCAAGGTGAATCTTAAAACAACTTTAATCTAAAAAAA